AAGGAAGCAACACATAGATGGGCTTACAATTGAGGAGCAGACTTAACTATGGATGCTGTTGTACAAGTTACTCATGAATGTGAAACATGCACTGCAATTAAGCAAGCCAAGTGTTATCGATAAAGCCTCTTTGATATGGAGGATAATGCCTGAAACCTGGAAGGTGGATTATACCACACTCCCACAAACTCGCCGTGGCAAACACCATATCTTGCAGTGGTGGAAGGAATCACCAGATGGCATGTTCTGTGCCCAATGCCACTGCCAGAAGTACTATCTTGGGCCTTGAAAAGCAAACCTTAGGGCAACATGACATCCCAGAAAGAATTGAGTCAGAAAACGGAGCTCATTTCCAAAACAGTCTCATAACTACCTGGGCCAAAGAACATGGCATTGAGTGGGTATATCACATCCCCTAACATGCACAGCCTCTGAAAAAAACAAGCGATATAGTGTACTGTTAAAGATTACAATGAGAGCAGCGGGTGCTGGGACATTCAGATACTGGGATAACACATTTAGCAAAAGACAGTTGGTTAGTCAACACTCAAGGATCTGCCTATTGAGCTGGTCCTATCCAGTCAGACCTCCAGCATACCACAGAAGTGGATAAAGTCACAGTGGTGCACAGAAAAACACAAAACAAAAAACAAACAAACAAACAAAAAAAAAACATGCTGGGCAAGATATTGTGGGTCATTCCTGCCTTGGACAAAGGCAAGCCTATTCACGGAATTGCTTTTGCTCAGGGACCTGGGCACACGTGGTGGGTAATGCAAAAAGATGGGGATGTCTGTTACATACCTCAAGGTGATTTGGTGCTGGGTGAGAACAGTCAATAATTCAAATAGCATTAAATTGCTACACAATACTGTATGTCATCACTACTGTGGTTCTTGTATACTTGTTAAAGTATTACGGTAAGAATTACCCAGGTTAAAGAAGAATGAACTCTGATGGAACCCGAACTAGCCTCTGTATGCAGTAACCCAGTAGTGTGAGTCATCCCTCCTGTGCTGAAGGACTACTATGACAGATGAAGCTTGAAGTTATGAACTAAATGAATACCATGAACAATTCAAATGGATGGCTGACAGACTATGGAAAAAATATGTGTGTGTATATATAAAAGAAAAAAAAAGATAGGGGATGGTAATTAGGATGTGCAGAAATTGAGGTACCTAGCATTATGTAAATGGTATGGAATACTGGGTGGATATTGTCTCAGTTTCAGCAAGGACAGAACTGTCTGGTATGATGCTATGTTTTGGTCTAGGAAAAAAATAGCACTGATAACAAGCAGATACTTCTAGTCGCTGCTGAGCAGCATTGTACAGAGCCAAGGCCATTCGCAGCAAAGGGCCCAAGGAGGTGAAAAGGAACAGAGCTAGGACAGCTGGCCTAAAGTGGCCAAAGGGATATTCCATATCATATGGCACCGTGTAGAAGAAATTTTGAAGGGGTGGGAGTTCTTTCTTTTCTCTTCTGCTGCTCAGAGGCTAGCTAGGCATTGGTCCTGACCAAGGGTGAGCAATTGCTTCTGCATCACTTGTTGTGTGTGTATAATCATACTTATTATTCTTCTCTTTTTCTCTATCTTAGTAAATAGTTTTATCTCAACCCATGAGTTTTATTTCATTGTTGTTCTGTTGTGGTTGTTCTCTCCTCCATCCCTTTGGGAAGCAGGGGAGTGAGGGAACAACTGTGTGATGCTCAGCCACCTGCTGGTTAAACCACAACACTGGGGCACAATACGGAGATCTTAGAAGAGAATGCCACACTTACCTCTCTCTGTGAAGATAACCCAAAGCTGAGTAATCATTCTGTGTTCCAGAGGCTGCTGTTCCCCACGGAGAGCACTGTGCCACCCCTTTGAGCTTAGGGACCCTGGGGTTGAATTCATCTCTGCGGTGGAAAGGGGCTATGGGCAGGTCTCTGGCTTCTGCATGCAAGCCACACTGGACTCTGTTAAATCACCCATGCCAGATCAAAGTCCCTGGCTTGCCCTGTACATTGTGCAGAAGGAATGCACAGTTTGTATTGTGCACCAGTTTGTAATTTGGATGGGATGCAGAAATGAAGAGGTAGACCTCCGTTACCACCCACTGCTCCTCACATGGGCTCCCTGCAAAGGGACTGGGCAAAAAATCATCCGCCATGCAGATCAGACATGATGTTAGGACAATGAATGGTGGTAGCCAGAGAGGCAGATAACAGAACTGCATGAGCTGGTCACTGCCACGTGTGGATTTTTGTGTTCTATTATCAAGCTTTCAAAAAGCAGTTAAGCACGACTGCATCTTGAAACTTGCCTGCTTTGCAAAGCATCCGGGTTGAGCACAGATCCTGCACGCTGCTTTTTGCACAGAACACCAAGGGGAGTGGGCTGCTGCAGAACCCTGCGTACATCACTCATAGGACGTGAGCTGGGATGGCACACAGAAGACATGGTTGCAGCTGGGCAGAGCTGCCGGCCCAGGGATGATCCTGCTGACTTCCTGGAAGCACAGGGCTGATTCCTGGGAAGCACAGTGTGTGGCACTGCCGTCCTCCTTCTCCTTGTTATTCTTCAGCAGCTTCTCCTCCATCTTTCAACAAGACGTGCTCTGCCAAGTGTTCAAGAGAGGCTGGGTGATTGGGTCCATCACCAGTGAGAGCAGAGCTCTGTGTGCGCTGTGTCGCAGCAGGCAGACACCCAGCACGCCCAACTAATTATTAAATATTTATTGCACCTTTAATGGGTCAGTTACAACAGAAGAATGCTCCCAAGGAGCAGGCTGCAAGGAACGGGAAAGCACAGTTAAAGGCTGTCAGGGCTAGATGAAATGCAGCACAGTAATGCACTGCAGATAACCCGACCCTCCTGCGATAAAATGTGGTGCAGCTGTTGCTGCAGGCACTGCCTCCAGCAGCTTCCTCCCTTCGGCAGCCATCTGCACCACTGCTTAATGCTGGTCTTGCCCAGCCTTCTGTGACACAGCCAAGCCTGTATCTGCTGTGAAACTGTCCCTTCTGCTGCACCGTATGATTCTCACAGTATCATCTGGACACAACGTCCAACACCAGCTAGATGCAACGTAATGCCAGTGGGTGAACCGCTGGCTGACGGGCCGGGCTGGGAGGGTTATATTAATGGGGTTACATGGCAGTCAGTCATCAGTGGGGTCCTGCATTGGCTCCATTTATGGGCCATTTCTCTTCAGTGGGTTATCAGGGAGCTGAGTGCACACTGACTGAAGATGCTGAACTGGGAGGAGTCATTGGTTCCCATGTTGGAACTGGATGATCTTTGAGGTCTCTTCCAACTCAAGCCATTCTGTGATTCTATGATCTTTCCCATTCAGGGGATTGGGAAACCCCTTTCTGCATGGGGCTCCTCACCTGGCACAGGGCTGGGGAGCACTGCTAATACTCTCCAACACTTGCTCTGCTCCAACCAGCACTGTGCTGGATGAGGGACGTCCACTGGCTTGCAGCAAGGAGCAGCACTGTTCTGCAGCACAAAGGAACAAAAAGGATAAAAATAAGGACACAGGGTGTGTTTTCTGGGTGTGTGGGGTTTTGTTTCTTTGACTTGCAGCCAGAGGATCCACATTCTTCTGCACAATTTTTATTAGGCGCTGTCCTGAGACCAACTAACCTGTGCATAACAAGCCCAGATGCACAAACTGCTCTCAGTGATTTTAGGTGTTCACGTGGCAGTTCTGAGCACCATGTGCCCAGTACCACCTCCGTGCTACAGAGATGCAAGGCACAAGGAGCAGGCAGACAAAAGGGACATGTGAAAATGGGGGATGTGTGGACATGGGACACACAGACATTAGGGACAAGTGAACATGGGGGATGCATGGCCACGATGGACATGTGGGATGTGCAGGACAGGCAGACAGAGGACTGGTGGACACAGGACACATGGACAAGAGAGACAGGTGATCACAAAGGACATATAAACATGAAGGACATGCAGACACGGGGACAGTGTGCACGGAAATTTCATGGACGCAAGAGACAGGTAGATGGGAGGCACATGAGGGACAGACGGACACGAGGGAAGGGGCAGACACATGCTAAGGAGAGACAAAAGAGACGCACAGACCTTGGGGAGAGGTGGAGGAGGGGGATGTGCGGACATGACAGGCAGACAGCGTGCACACAGACACAACAGACACACAGATAAGAGGGACAGGCAGATATGGGGGATAGGCGGACAGAGGATAGACACAAGGACACGGGAACATGCAGACACGTGGCACAGGCAGAAGGGACGGCATACCCAGCACACTGCCCGCGTCCCAGCACATGGGGGCACTCCTGGAGGCAGCTCCTTAAGCACACACACACACACACACACACACACACGGCACCTCGATGCGGGGCGGTCACACGGATCCCAGCCGACATCTGATGGGGTTAACAGTTTGAAGGCAGGACCACCGCTTTAAGCGCAGCTGCCATGAAGCCTTCGCACCCCAGCCCTGCGTGCCCCCACTCCCCGCTCTTGGGGGGCGGGGGGAGCAGAAAAAAAAAAAACACTTTAAAAACGATTTAAAAACGCGATGAAGAAAAATAAAGGGAAAAAGAAATAAAATAGGACGAGTCCCCCCGACGTGGGTCCCCCCTCCCCCCCGCGCCGGGTAGGAGCCTGCCCGCCACTTCCTGCTTAGCGTTACACAGCACTTTTTCTTACAGTCACACGGTTGGGGTTTTTTCTTTTTTTCTTTTCTTTTCTTTTTTTTTCTTCTCCCCTTTTGTCTCCTCCTCTCCCCCCCGCTCCAACGTTCCCCAACCCCGCCCGGCTCCCCACTCTATGCGCCGCGCTCCGAGAGAACAAAAACTGCCCCCCCCTTCAGCCCCCCTTCCCGCGTCGTGACGTCACCCGCGCCATGGGCGGAGGCGGGGGCGGCCAAGAAGCGGGGGCGTGGCCTGGTAATGGCATGGACGCGTGGCGCATGCGCAATGCTGCGCCTCGCGGCATTGGCTATATAAGTGCGGGGCCGGGGCGGCGGTGGCAGAGCGCTGAGGAGGCTCTGAGCCTGCGGAGTGGTCCTTAGTGCGACAGCGGAGAGAGCAGAGGCGTGCCGGGTGCGCGTGCGCGGGGACGAGGTCGTGAGCCGCCTTTTTGCGTTGCAGCCGAGGAGCCGCCGCCATGGTGAAGAGCGTGGGCAGCCTGGTGAGCCCGTGGTCCGGCCCACGGTGGCCGCGCGGGGAAGCGGGGGGGGGGGGGCTTTGTGTCGAGGGCAGGGCCGGCGGCGCGAGGCTGCGCTCCTTTGTGTGAGTTCATCCCGGGAGCCGCGATCCGTTCGCGTCTCCTCCCGCCTCGCTGAGGGAGGGGCGGCTCCGCTTCGGCTGCAGGTGGCCGCTTGGGAAGCCGGGTCTGCAGCCGAAGCCGCGTCTGCAGGGCTGTGCTGGCCGCTCCGCTTAAGCAGCGGACAGCGGCTCTTGCAGTGACCCTTGGCAGTCAGCTGATGGCCGGGCTAAGCGCGGCCCAAGAGCAGCTCGGTACGTGCGTATAGCTGAGGTCTTCTATCAGAGCCGTCTCCGCTGTGCTGAGTGCAGTGGATTTCTTACGGCGTGGGTTTGTAGTCTCCATTTTGGGGTACTGGCGGCTGCTAGGAGCCCCTGCTGCACTGAAACCTCTCCTTGCCACCTGTTTTCTCTCACCCGGCCCTTGGAAACCGAAACCTAACAGCAAGCACACTGCTTGCCTTGTCCTCCAGCATAACGGTGCATGCAAAGCGAGGCCCTCCGTGGGCTTAGGGAGGCACCAGCTGGATATTTAAAAGCTTTTCAGAGGCTTTTCCCCTCAGGAGTACGAAGGAAAACATTGATGGTAAAGCTGTGAGATCCTCCAATAACTGTGGCCACGTGGACTTGCAGGGGGAGGTGTCCCTTCTTAACAAAGATATTGCTATATGAAGCTTATCGATCCATAGTTATTGCAGGAAACTAGAAGTCAGAAAGGTCAAGCAGATCTCTTGCCACTGCTATCTTCCTTACTTTAGGGATATTAATGTTCTCTGAGAAAAATACCAACACAATCCACTCTTGGTGGATCTCTCAGGGATAACAGTGTTGGACCCTGTGTCTCTTCTCAGGCTGCCCACAGCAATTTTAGCTGATTCTAGGGATGACTCACAGGGTGACGCCTGATTGCAACTGGAAAGCAATGCTCAGATCCAGGTCTCCACTAGCGTATGGTTTGCGATCAGCAGGAAGTGCCATGTTCTCCCACTTCACCCTTGTTCTGTGCAGTACTGTCCTGAGGCATGTGGTCATATGACCAGTGCTTCCCAGGCATGGACTTCCTCTTGCAGGATACAGCAGTTAGTCAGCTGGCCCGAGGAAATAAGAGTAAGGAAGGTGGTCTAGTTAGCAGGTGCAGGAGGTAGAATTATAGTGTTAATAAGTCTGTTACAATGCAGAGGTGTGAGAATATATGCCAAAAATCAGGGATTTGGAGGTGGGAATGAATGAGGCTCTACTAAGAACCTTATGGTTTTAAGTAACTGCTGGGAGCAGATAGCATGGGCTACTGTATGTACTGGCACTAAACTTTGCTGGAGACAGTGTTGTACTCCTGCATCCCGATCTCTAAAGTTCATCCTACATTAGCACAGCAGCGGAGAAAATGTTTGAGAGATAGAAGTTCTGCAGCCACCCCTCAGACTGAGAGCAGGTGGCATGGGGTGTTGGCTGCTGCTCTCATAGTGGATAGGATCAGTGTCTACCCACTGTGCAGGGATGGAGGAGCTCTGCAAATGGAGGCTGCATACATGTCTGAGGACAGATGCGTCAGGAGGTTGAGACATTTACAGTGGGAAGCTGTGGTGCCAGACATTTGGAGTTGCAGCATGTTATGAAGACTTGCCTATGTGCTGGATCTGCATCCTTTGCTTGCTCTGCCTGAGATACTTGTTTGTTTTCTAGCATGCAAATGTCTCTTGCCTTCAGTGTCTTACACTTCTGCTAAAACAGTTGCTCTTTGAAAACAGTGGCACACAAGGAGCTCTAAAATGCAAAGCATGCTGTCCAGAAATGTCTCTTATAACAAAGTGCAGCAGAGATCTCTCTGTTAACCTGAAATGTTATTTCTTACTGGCATAGTCTGTGTAGCATTGTGTTGATTACTGAAGTTGCATTCCAGTGTACTTGGCAGAATAAATAAAGTATTTATATGATGAAGCTGTTGCTTTAAAAGACATGCTGTAGGGTAAGCCATGCAACATATTGATTCTAACAATTGATTGGGAAAGGTATCAAACTGGAAAAGCCTGCAGAAGTTTGTCCTCAAATTCTGTGGACGGAAGTCCTAGAAGTGGATGTCTTCCCATCAAGTTGCACATGAGAATTGAATATTAAGGGCTGTTGGGATCACATTAAAAGTGTAACACTACTCAGTCTAGGTTACAATCTCAGCTCATGCTAATTTCCAGCTAAACCTCCACAGTTCAGTGACTGAGCACTGTGGTATTTCCTAATTGAGGCGTCAGAAGGAAGTGGTGGATGCTAGCACTGGAAGCAATTCACAGGAGTGAATGCATCATTATCCAAATAACTTAGTTTAAGTGAAGGTGCTGTGTGAAGGCTAAGGGAAAGCTAACTTGGGGGTTAGTCTAAGCTTTTTGCAAAGAAGGGGCTGGAAATCCTTAATATTTTAACTCTTTTTTTTCTTTACAGTCTGAATTTGAGGCAGAACTGAAGTCTGCTGGTGAGAAGCTTGTAGTAGTTGATTTCTCTGCCACATGGTGCGGACCATGCAAAATGATCAAGCCATTTTTCCATGTAAGTAGCCGTTGATTTTCATAGTACCTGTAGGTATACACAAATACTTCTGTGTAACTTGCCAGTAATATGGAGGAAACTTCCTTTGTCTGTGGGGTGGACAGTATTTTCTTGAAGGAGAAATTTTAGAAGTGTATGATCTCTAACTACTGAATAAAATACTTGAATACACAGCAAGGAATTGACTGTTGCATTTTGGCTGTCCTGGTGCTCTGATGCATCAGTCTATAGGGACCTAGCTGATGCATTCCCTCAAGAACTGGCATCAGTGGAGCTGAAACAATGTATGTACATTGGCTCTGATTATTAAAACTGCATTCAGATAAGCTGTAGTATCTTTCTGTGGTGAGGGGGAGGCCCTAAGGAAAGGAAAGACCTTTCCCTTCTGCTTAGGTGCTTCAGCAGACAGTTCCAGGGGATGGAACTGAAAATTAACTTCTGGTCTGTAAAGTAGCTGCTTTAAGGTAACGTGTCATGTCTTACAGCACCAGTTTCTACAAAAGCACCTTTTTAAGAACTAGGTTTCCTGGAGCAGTAACTACATAATTTCATTTTTCATTCTAGAGTTTGTGTGACAAGTTTGGTGATGTGGTGTTCATTGAAATTGATGTGGATGATGCCCAGGTAAGGTCCAAAGGTAGTGCTGAGGGACAGTAGCTTGGGAGAACCACAGAAGTGGCAATGAGTGTCCTTAGATTCTTTGAAACAAAATGAGATGGTTGCTAGGTGCCTATGCAGGGAAGAATAAACTTCTAGAGAATATCAAAAGAATGAACTGCTTTAGTTATCTAATCCCTATGGCATGCATGAGGTAACTTGGGAACACTGGTGCTCTGTGTGTTGGGAGGGAGTCTCAAAGGCCTTAATCTGTTTTGATGCAATCTTCCCTAAAACTAATAGCTCACAAGTACAGGACGGTCTGATCTCACCACTGCCCTTGGCATTGTTTCCTCTTTCATATTTTGAATCAAGTGTAATAAGATGTCTGCTCTATAGCAGTTTCAGCAATGTGGAATGAGTACTTGTACAGTTTCACATTGAAATTGCATTGCTGAAGTGCTTTTGAGCACTCTCCAAACACAATGTGGATGCAGTAAACATGTGCTCTTGTATGAATTAGATGCTGAAAGGAAGATCTCTTAGGTTTGTTTCAGGAAGATGTTAATATTGAGCTGTCTTTGCAGGGCTGGCCTAGAACAGATGCTTTTGCTTTATTTTTAACAGTAATGACTTTGTCCAACTTCCTAATCAAAATGAAATCAGTGGGTTCTAAATTATGATGTCCTTCAGACATGCACAGCTGAAGACTGTTTTTCTTCTCTTCTAGGATGTTGCTGCACACTGTGATGTGAAGTGCATGCCAACATTCCAGTTCTACAAGAATGGAAAGAAGGTAGGCTTTTTTTTTTTAATGGAGCTTATTTTCCTGGAAGAGGCAGGCTAGGCACATAGCTTGCTTTCTCTTAATAATGTATCTGGGTCACAGCTGGCATTCGGACACCTCTGAGAGCAATCAAATTAATCTTAGTGCTACAGCAAATGTAACATAGACCAGCTGCTAACTGATGAAGCAAGCTCTATTAATTAGACCTAGTGAATTAAGTCTTGCAGGTCAGTCTTATGGGTGGATCTTCATGAGAAATTAGTGAGGTTAAGTGTGCAAGTCTTAATGTTCTGCTTTTACTGATCTCAGTTAGCATTCATTCTCTGCTTTGCAGTTCATGTTCAAGCAGAGACATTACTATATATGTAGAACTCCCCCCTGACATCAGTCTCTAATCTGAATATACTCCCATCTGAAACCACTGCTTGAGTTTTTTTCACACAGGCTTTAAAACCTATGGAGGGAGCCCATGTATGTTGCAGGACTGAACAGAGCCCCTTTGCATTGTCTTCTGTAATGGATAGATGGGATACAAGAGCAGTCTCAGTGACAGGTTGCTCTAAGCAGTCCTCTCAGAGCTTGATAGGGAAGGGTCCAGAGCAACCCAATGTGGCTTTCAGTTAGCACTGCTAGGAGGTGACCTCCATAATCCCTTTAAACTGTAGTTTTGAGTCACACACCACTGATTATTCAGGATCAGTTTATTTTTCCCTCCTGTGTGTGTGTGTGTGTGTGTGTAGAGCTCCAAGCATGGTGGTCGGAAAGGAATTCTTAAGATGCCGGCACTGATTTTCTTTTGAATGAGGAACAAATAATTTAATCTCTACAAAATGTTTCTCATTTTGTGGCTGAAGAAATCTTAGTGGTAGTAGGAATTAAACCCATATTTGTGCATATTATGTAACTAGATGTTATGTAGCATTGAGTACAGTTCTTCTGAAAACTGTTCTTTTTGCAGGTGCAGGAGTTCTCTGGGGCCAATAAAGAGAAGCTGGAAGAGACCATCAAAAGTCTAATCTAATCTGCAGCCACGGAGACATCGGAGCATGTCTGGGGATCGGCTAAATCATAGCCCATAACTTTTCTACTTTAAAAAAAAAATTCAACCATTTAACCTATCTAGCCTGGTGGAAACTATCCTCTGATCAATGTAAATGAGTACAATAAAACGTAAATTCTTCACTTCTGGTTACTGCCTGATGGTTTGAATGAAAACGCAAGCAAGTTGCTAATGTCTCTGATGTGATCTATTTTACTGTGTTAAAAGAATGCTGTCTGGAAGCAAGGGCTCTTGTCAAATGCAAAAATTTAATACCAGGTTGTTGCTGAGAATGGAAAGTTAAGTGTTGGAAAGGACAACGATAATAATTGCTGTAGAAGTCTGGCACCTTACTTGCCTGGCAGCCAACCACGAGCCTATTATTTGAAGAGCAGCACTATGGCTTGCAGTTGAGCTGCAGGAGGGTGAGCTTGAAGCTGTAGAAGATGGGGATTGCTGGTAGGGATGGGTTCTTAAAATCCAAGCTTTGTATTAGACTTAGAAATTAAGACTACTGGTGTAGTAAAACATCTGAACATGATGTGAATTGTGCCACAAAATTATAGAAAGGGAGGAGTTGGAAGTGCTGCCTCCTTCCCTTTCAGTTTTGCTTTGCCATTCCTGTACAGTCTCGTTCTGTTGGTAGCAATATGTAGTCTCTGGGTTGGGCTGCTTCGTTCCACAGGCAGTAATCTAAAGAGGCAAAACAGTGTCTTGAGCCTGAGATGAATTTGCTTGTTCTTGTTGTCTTTGCTTAACTTCACTATTATATTATTGGACCATACTGGATACATTTTTGTCTACTGAACTGGACTCTGAAGTCCTCCAGCTCTGTAACAGGTTATCTAAATAAACATTTATCTGCCACTTTCCTCATGCTATTTAACTGCTGTTCCTTCTCCACCAGCTCAGAATGGTTTTCTTGCTGGCCTAGGTGTTGTCTCTTGATAGGTGTTCAGTAAATAATGAAGCAAGGCTGTAGCAGCAGTTAACACCTAATGCAGTGGTTTGGAGCTCATTTTCCATCATTGATGGGAAAAGTGAGACAGACTTCCTGCTGTATCTGGGGGCAAAGTGGAATGAGGCTTTCTGGTAAGCAGCTCATGTGTGACTTAGTTTTACACTCATATCACAAACGTGTGACTTTCCTGGCTCATAAGGAAGGCTTGGAGAACTTCAGCAGATTGCTGTGTATTTAACCCCTGTTTAAGAACAGATTTTTCCATTTCCAAGAAGCATCCCCTCATCCCTTGCGGCTTGGAAGGCAAATGGGATCCTGGGCTCCATCAAGAGAGGGGTGGCCAGCAGGGACAGGGAGGTGATTGTTCCCCTCTACTCTGCTCTTGTGAGGCCCCGTCTGGAATACTGCGTCCAAGTCTGGAGCCCCCAGTACAAGAAAGACAGGGAGCTGTTGGAGAGGGTCCAGAGGAGGGCCACAAAGATGATCAGGGGACTGGAGCACCTCCCCTATGAGGATAGGCTGAAAGAGCTGGGCTTGTTCAGCCTGGAGAAAAGAAGGCTGTGGGGTGACCTCATTGCAGCTTTTCAGTACCTAAAGGGAGCCTACACAGGGGAGGGGAATCAAACTCTTTGAAAGGGTGAGTGACAGCAGGACAAGGGGAAATGGCTTGAAGTTGAGGGAGGGGAGATTTAGGTTGGACGTCAGGGGGAAGTTTTTTACAGAGAGAATAGTGAGGTACTGGAACAGGCTGCCCAGAGAGGTTGTGGATGCCCCGTCCCTGGAGGTGTTCAAGGCCAGATTGGATGGGGCCCTGGGCAGCCTGGTCTAGCATTAGGTGGGAAGGTTGGTGGCCCTGCATGTGGCAGGGGGGTTGGAGATTCATGATCCTTGAGGTCCCTTCCAACCCTGGCAATTCTGTGATTCTGTGATCCCCATTCTCAGCTGAGGAGAAGCCATCAGGAGTTTTGGATGTAAGCTCTGCTTATACAGTGAGAGCATGCAAGATGTTTTCTGTACTGCTCTGAGTCTTTGACTAACAGCAGTGCCATGTGTTAAAAGATGATTCACAGGTTAAGTGGGAAACCACTATATGAAGTGGTTCCATGGATAAACTTGTGAGGAGGAAGTAATATGGTACTGGAGAAGAACATGCCATTAAGATCACTGTATCTGCTAACAAGCATTGCTTTTAAGAGCAATTCTCAGGTGGCCTGTTTATTTCCTCTGGGCAATAGCTGGAAGCAAGAGAGGAGAGATGGTCATCTGAAAAATTCCTGAATGGAAGTCAGGCAAAATTCAGCAAGAATTTCATCCTAAAAGAATAAGGAAGCAACTGAGATCTGCAGTACCTCATCGCTGCTGAGGTTAGGCAAGACCAGGTAGTTGGTTACATGCTAGATGGGGCAAAACTGCAAATTCAGATAGGAATGAGGAGAGGGATCAGAAAGGCAGCAGTATCTTGTGCTCAAATAGGTGCAAATTAGTTCTTGGAGCAAGCCTTCTGCTTCTTCTGCTGCAGTATCCTGTTTCTGAGAATCCACTTACAAGCACAAAACCTGCTTAGCCTTGCTTTAAAACAGCTGTTCTTAAAGCCATTTCTAAGGAATACTCAGCAAAGAACTTTGTGTGTCAGGTACCCTTTCCTTTTAAAGAAAATGTCAAGTGTATTCCCTTCTAAATGCTTTGTTTGAAGCTAGTTCTTCTCCTTACAGATACTGGAAAGCAAAGCCTGATGGCAATGCCTTCCTGAGGGGTAAGGAGTCTCAGATCCTATGGCAGCAGTGGGAGAGATGTATTCCAGTTCTGGCTGGCATCTCCCTGCCAGTGAGGAGCCAGAAGGGAACTGAACTAGCATAGCTGAGCTGGACTGGACAAAGGGATGTCCTAAAGCAGAACACCACATGCTTAGCACAGAGGGCTGCTACTTCAGGTCTGGTAGGGCATTATGGTGTTGGTCGTGGAGCAATTGCATTGTGCGTCACTTGTTCTATATACTTTGTATGTCTATTATTTTCCCTTCCTGTTCTGTCCTATTAATCTGTGTTTATTGCAGCCTGTGAGTTTTAACTTTCTTCCTGTTCCTGCTGTTGACAGAGGAGTGAGGACAGAGCTGTGTGATACTGAGTGGCCTGCCAGGTTCAACCATGCCACCTGAATGCAGTGGCTACCAGTAACCTTACTAAATCCTGAGGCATTGGCCCTGACTTGGAATTACTAATTAATACTCTGGAGAGCTCAGTAGGTGTGATTTACTTGCTAAATGGCTGAACTGTTTTTCACTTGAAAGAGTGAGACAGCAGTATTTCCATATGCCGGAATGTAATGCTGCAGAGTTGCTCTTTCATTGGACACATCTAAGTCAAAGTCACTTTTGTGAGAAGCAGGATGTGATCTACTGTTTGCAAGAACACAACTGCTTTGAACTGCTTTAAGGGGATAACGAGAGCTGGTTTCAGTTCCATCACATGTGGAAGAAATTTGGTGCACACTGAAACAACATTTAGAGGTTCCTTCTAGGAGTTAGGATGTTACTCTTCCCTCAGGTGATGACTGCCATCAGTCATTTGGCTATAAAATGGGCTGAGATGTCTGCCTTGCTGTCAAACTGGTAGAACAAGAAGTTCTCTGCAAACCTGTTTGTGAAGCTTTCCCTTCAGAGTGGATGGACGGGTCAGCAGAAAGAGAAGTAGTCCTCCAGCACAGAAATTGTAGTGTGTGGGTGAATAAGTAGGTTTAATGAGAGAGGACTTCCCATCATGAAAGGGAAGGACAAGCTGCAAGGGAACAGTGCAGGGTTATGTTGGAGGGAAGTAGCAAAATTCTGTAACCACAGCCATGGTGTCAGACTGCTATAGTGCACTTAGGGAAGGATTATCTTAGTAATCAGTGTGTTACTTCACATCTTTTTCTGCAATACGCAACCTAATTTCAGCTCTGATTGACCTTCCACTTTTCATTTTTTCCCAGACCTGGATTATGTTAGACATGGATTTCAACCTCACACCCTCACAAATGATTTCAAGATGAGCTTTTGAAATTACCCTAGCTTTAATTAGTGTTCTTTCCTCAAAATTAGCTGTCTCTATAAAGGGCAAGTGACAACTTCTGTCTTTTCAAAATACACAGTATTCAGAACCTTGCCTGGCATCAGCTTCATGCTGAGTACCTTCCCAGTGGTGCTGTCCATTAGTTCTATTGCCTTTTTACCCAGCTAGCACAACCCCTGAGCAGTAGTGGTGGGACTAACTGCACTGAGCACCAGTTAATATTTGTGGTTATGGTGGAATTTGTCTGCTTCCACCTATACAGCTTGAGAACTGGGTCACAGCAGTTCCTCTGTATGAAGGTCTATTGCATGTAACTTTCAGTCACATGAGGAAGTGGCTTGAGGACTGTTTGTGAGTCCTCAGCTGGTCTATCTGAGGTCTCTGTGGAAGAGGTTGACAACAGGCACTGCAGGCCTGGCCGTAGTGGGGATCCTGCTCTGCATCTCAAGTGACAAGTGACTGTGTCCTGTAGGTTTTCCTTGGCATGTAGACCAAGCAGAAAGCTGTAGCAGGAAGGAGGAGAAGTCTGGTGGGGACCTGTGGGGATCTGCATTTGGTGCAGCTGCTGGCTGTCTTTGCACAGGGCTGGTAGCCAGTCAGTGCTGTGCTCAGGGCTTGCTGCTGTGTGAAGGCGAGCTCCCCTTGCTGTTGGCTGAGAAATCAGCTCTAAAACACGCCCACCTCCACGAGGTGGCAGTGACCCGTTCTGGTTGTACTTACATTAATACACAGACCAGTCCTGGGAACACCTTATGCTGTTCCCTTGTTCGGTAACATGACAGCCTGTACCTGCGGGTAATGGGCTGGAGGAGAACAAGAGGCAGCCTAGAAATCCTAGCATGCGTGATTTGCCTCTCCCTGAGAGCTGGGCTAGTGTAACAAATATGCAAAAAGTCTCTAGGTGGGTAGAGAAGCCAGGCATGAAGCAAAGAAATTTTTTCCTATCGTGGAAGTTTAAAAATCCTGAGGACATTAAAAAAAAAAAAAGAAGTGAATCTTAAGGATGCTGCTTTCTTTTCTCTTGCTGCAGCTGTGCAGTGAATACATGAGGAGCACAGAAAATGCTTTTGTAAACATCATGGGGAGGAGCCAAAGAGCAATCCGTGTCCCTCAGCATCAGCACCATACATGGGCAAACTGAGAGACCAAGAGTGACTCTTTGCCAAATCCTCTTAATTGATCAGTAAAGGTAGAATGTTACATTTAATATGTATGACAGACCTGGAAATAGGCAGAAACTTTGGAAAACTGTATGAATATTCCAATGCTAAATGCATATTGTGATTTAGCTCTGCATCTGATTTGTGGAGATATCCCCACACACTCATCACTGCAATAAACCAATGCCAGCTTTCTTAACTACCATTTGGTTTGGAGAGTTTTCTTGGTTATGATTCTTAGTGGCAATGTGATGATCGGCTGCAGATGTACAAATTATCATAGGATAGAATGGTTTAGGTTAGAGGAGACCATCTTGTTCCAATCCCCTGCTGTGGGCTGGCTGTCACACCTTCAGAAGAGGCTGCTTCATCCAGCCTTGAGGGCAGCACCATCACTTATGCCCAAAGCCCTCTGAACTTGCACATATATGATCTGCATAACAATTACTACTGTCCTACACTACCACATGATGAAGGAAGTGGCTCAGACTCAACAGTTATTGTAGATAGCCTTGGCTCATCTGATTCTGGTGTTGGTCAGCGTCCCTGGGATGATGAAACTCCAGGGCCTTCATGCTCTACTTTAGAAAAGTACGGTGCAACAGCAGCTTCTCTGCAGAGTAATTAGTGAGGTCTGACAAGGGCTCTGCTTGGAAGAGAATTAGGCTGCAGCCTCAGTTACAAGCTGGTGTTGACTCCAGTGA